ATGATACTTTAACAGGAGGACACCTCGGAGTTAAGAAGACATTGAGTCACCAATGACACAGATTTTACTGGATAGGTATGAGACAAGATGTGGAAAAATGGTGCAGTACATGTTGTACTAAAAGGGGACCCAAGCATAAGGGATGTGCTCCAATGAAGTAATATCAAGTTGGTGCACCAATGGAAAGAGTAGCCGTTGACACTGCTGGTCCATTGCCCCAAACTCGTGCTGGAAACAAGAACATCTGTGTGGTGATGGATTATTTCACCAAGTGGCCTGAGGCATATGCAATACAAAATCAGGAAGCTACAACTGTAGCTTCGGCTGTTAGTGATTTCTTCTTCAGGTTTGGTATGTCATACGAACTGCATTCAGATCAAGGCCGTAACTTTGAATCAGCTATATTCCATGAACGCTGCAAGTTGTTTGGCACCCGAAAGACCAGGACAACGCCACTTCACCCACAGTCTGATGGGATGGTAGAAAAGTACAACTGGACGCTGGGAAAGGAATTGGCAAAGTTTTGTAATAGCCGCCAAGATGACTGGGATGTCTTACTCCCTCCACTGTTGATGGCCTATAGAACAGCAGAGCATGAAGCCACTGGATACACTCCAGCAAAGCTGATGTTTGGTCGGGAACTTTGGTTACCAGTTGACCTGATAACAGGACGCCCACCTTACGAAAAGTTGCATGAAAATGTGCCAGAGTTCGTGAAAGTGTTATCTGAAAGGATGGATGACATTCACCATCAAGTGCATTCAAACTTTTAATCGTGTGCTGATTCCATGATGCTATGTTATGATAAGAGATCTACTGAAGTCAGTTTTGTACCAGGAGACAAGATGTAGTTGTATAGTCCCAGAGAGACCAAAGGGAAGCCTCCTAAGTTGTCTTCTCCATGGGAAGGCCCATATGACATAGTGGATCATCTCTCAGATGTGACTTTTCGAATAAAATGTGGTCGGCGAGGTAAGCCAAAGGTGGTACATGCCAACAGGGTTTGGCATTATCGCGGTCCAGAACATTTCAGTTGGAACGAAGTGAATAATGGAACAAATGACACTGCTAAAGGCGTGTCACTTGAAAAAGCCTCAGTCGAAGAAGAAACTGTACCCAGTTTTGAGAAGGGAAACAGTGAAGCCATTATTGAAGTTACTACCACTGATGTGACTTTACCGATAATGGAACATTTCCTGATGGAGCAGATAAACCCCACGTGAAGCAGAAGCCAATGAGACAGAGACCAGTACGGAAGAAGATACGTCCTGTAAAACTAAGATACTTTGTTGTATTTTAATTTTGTGTTTGTAAATTCTGTATATTTAATCAAGTCATTGTTAATTATCTATTGGTTTAATGTAAGTGGCTATTGTTCAGGACGAACGATACTAAGGAAGGGGCAGTGTTACTACAGCGGAAGTCACGCAACTCTGGAAGCATGCACGCTAGAGTTTCAAGAAGGATCATGAATTTTCCTGGTAACTCTAGTTCGTTCAAGGCGCCCTTTTTTTTTCTAGTATATAAGCCTGGCAAAGAAAGCCAACGAGATTGGCAGGATAGATTGAAGAGATAAATAAATTGAGTCAAGCAGTAGGCGCCGTAACGTAAAGTGTGTGAATCACG